AAGGGGAAATGTGGGCGACCACGAACTAGCTGGAGTAACTGAACCAAACCAGGCCCAGACTTGCGTCCCTCATTCACTCAAAAGGCTCGAGTGCCTAAAGGGTGAATAGTTGGTAGATGCTTGAGAAAGGGCTTGAGCAATGGTTCTCAGGGCTCGCTTGTAGGTGATCGCCCACATAACACAATAGATACAACTTATTCTGACCTGGGCATAAATGTAAATAACGGTCTGTCTGTCCTTGCTGGTCTGTTTACCATACCTAATATTCCTTTGAAGTATGCACATCTGGAGCAACAAGCTTAACTATTTACCAAGGTCTTCTGGCACCTGTGAGTCTGTCTTGCATGCTGAGAAAAGGGAACTTTGGAGAGTTTCACAAACCTGCTAAAAATAAACACCTTCTTGGCTTTGTTTTGCTCACGCTATAAAATGTTGTAAAACCTTGAATAAAGCTGGCACTGCTTGGACATCATCCACTGTGTCCCTCCTGTCCCCATCTCTTTACTTCTCTTTTATTCTCCTCATCCCCTTATCCTCAGGACCCTGATCGTGTTGCTGCAGCGCGTGCAACAAGCCACTGCAAAGGAGCAGAAAGAAAAGAGAACTAAAGAATTAAAATCGTCTTTTAAAATCCTGTCTCTGCCAACTTGCTGGCAATGTGTACTTGGAAAAATGACCTAACTGCTCTATTCTTCAGATTTTTAATCTGTAGAATGAAGATAGTATTTCCTACTGCATAGATTTATCATGGTTAAATTAGCTACTATGTATAAAGCACTCATTACAGTGCTTTATATAGTAAGCATAAGTGTTTGCTATCATCATTACTACATTATTATTATTCTGGAAAATGCTACGAAAAACAAGTTTTTCGAAATTATTTACAAACAGTAGTTAGGAAGACTGATTTGGCTTACAGAGTTTGATGTCAGTTTTGATGTTTGACTATTAATAGCTTTCAAGCCCAACATTCCTCCTTATCCTCATTGCCCCACATCTGATCAAGGTGATATAGTCCAAATGTTGTCTTCTTTGGTGTAAATTCAGACCACACAAGCCTGGACCAAGGCACAGGAACTCCACCCCTGACCCAACCCTATCTTCTTTCCCTCCTCTCTCAAACCATTTTCAAACCAGGTTAGGAGCCAGCCATGTTCTTCCCAGAAAGCTCCCACTGTGTGCATAAATTTTTCCATACCTCCTTGTTGTATTTGTGGGGTCATCAATTTCAACATCAGAAACAAATTCTGGGTGGGGCCTATCCTCCTTCTATGAAGGTTTTCCAAAGAGAGAGGAACTAATCCCAACAAAAATCAAATTATATAAGAAGCTTTGAAGAATGTTATAAAAGGCATACAGTCAACTAAAAGATTCTGAGAGATACATATTAGTGTTAAATGCATTTATGAGTATCTAAAAAGTAACTTAGTAATAAGTTACTAAGTTATAACTTATAAGTCGTAAGAAAGTAGTAAGAATTTCAAAGCCTTCTAAAATGTTAGTATCAATAAAGTGAAAAACCGTAGACCCTGAGTTCTCTTAATTTTCATAGTCTCAGGATTATCAAATTATTCATAAAGTGTACTGATTAAAAGGCAAGAGAGTAATGTAATTGTGGAGGGGCTCTATACTATTTCCAAATTCAAGTTCCATTTTTAAAACAGTGAGGTAGAATATTTTAATTAAAAAGCTTTTTGTTGGGCAGCCCGGGTGGCTCAGGGGTTTAGCGCCACCTTCAGCCCAGGCCCTGATCCTGGAGACCCAGGATTGAGTCCCACGTCGGGCTCCCTGCATGGAGCCTGCTTCTCCCTCTGTCTGCATCTCTGCCTCTCTCTCTCTCTCTCTGTCTGTGTCTCTGCCTCTCTCTCTGTGTCTCTCATGAATAAATAAAATCTTAAAAAAAATAAAAAGCTTTTTGTTTTGGGATGCCTGGGTGGCTCAGTGGTTGAGCGTCTCTGCCTGCGGCTCAAGGTGTGTGATTCTGGGTCCGGGGATCAAGTACTACATCAGGCTCCCTGCAAGGAGCCTGCCTCTCTCTGTGTAGCTCATGAATAAATAAGTAAAATCTTAAAAAATTCTTTTTGTTTTGATTTCATCAAGTTTTGTCCTCCTTCACTGATTCTACCTAAGTTTTATTTTGTTTTTCTTTAAAGATTTATTTTAGGGGCTCCTGTGTAGCTCAGTTGGTTGGATATCCAACACTTGGTTACAGGTCAGACCATGATCTCAGGGTCATAAAGATTTATTTATTTTATAGAGAGACTGTGTGCAGGTGCACATATGTGAGTGGGGGGAGGGGCAGAGGAAGGAGAGAAAATCTCCAGCAGATTCCCAGCTGAGCACAGAGGGGGATATGGGGCTTGATCTCATGACCCTGAGATCATGACCTGTGCTCAAATCAAGAGCCAGACACTCAACTGACTGAGCCACCCAGGTTCCCCAAGTACTGTCTAAATTTTAAGTGAGTAAAAATAACCTACAGAAGTGTCATGTTAGATCTAAACAAACAAACAAAAAAAATTAAGGAAAACACACACACACACACACACACACACACACACACACACACAAAGGGAACTAGAAAGAAGTGTACCAAAATGTTACTAGGATGATTTCTTGGTGGGAGAAACATAAATAACCTATTTTTTACTTTATAGTGTTTCATATTTCCTAGCTTATCTCGTCAGAGGAAGCCACTCACATGCTGATGCAGCTTTGCTGCTGTTGTCATTTTGTTTCCTTCACATTCAGTGTGCAAATGTGAATAGAAATTGTAGGCATGAGCACTTGTAGGCATGCTTAGGAATCTCAGGCAAAATTTTATCTGCCTAAAAAAGCACAGGAATATACATATTATCTATAATATTCAAAAATGATTGTGAAGACCAATCTGAAATATTATTTTAATTCTATGAATTTTAGTTACTATAGATATCATTTAAATCTGTATCTATATGTTTATAGATCAATACACACAACGATCATATGATCAATATATCAAACTAAGTCCTATATAGATGAAAAAAGCACAAGAACAAAGTTATAATTTATGGAAGGGTACAATACCAAAGGATTGAAATACTGCCTCAAATATAAAAATCATCTTTGCATATTCATATTCAACAGAACTCATATTTCTGTTTAAGGTAGCCTCCTCTTCCTTCAATCCTTGCTTCCTATCCTTGCTCTCATCTCTTTCTCTTTTACTTTGGTAACTTTCAGTAACTAGTATTTGTATATACCCTTATAGATTACAATGTACTTTTTACATACATTGTGTAATTAAGGGGAACCACTAGGAATATCCAAATAAGACTGGTAATGCAGTAGAAAGGTCTCAAGTATTGCAGATTGTATATATACAATTCCTTGTATCAGTAATATTATAACTTGACATTTATAAATTTTGTTCCTGGAAAAATGAATGAACTTACATGTATCTAATAATTAGAAGTCATCTCACTGGCACCCTCCAGTTTATACCATTTTAGAATTTACAAGCCATTCTTATACACTATATACTTTTTAAGAAGTTTTCAGTATTGAAGTATAGTTGACATACAATGGTAGTTTCAGGTGCACAACATAGTGATTCAACAATTCTATACATCACGGGATGTTTTCCACAGTAAGTGCAGTTACCATCTGTCATCATACAAGGTTATTACAATAATATAGACTATATTCCCTATGCTGTACTCTGTGACTTATTTATAACTGGAAATTTGTACCTCTTAATCCCCTTTACCTAACCCTTCCTTCCAGCCCTCTCCCCTCTCTCAAACACCAGTTTGTTCTCCATACTTAGGAGTCTATTTCAAATATTTGTTTGTTTATTTATTTTCTAGATTCTACATAAAAAGGAAATCATAAGGTATTTGTTTTTCTCTTATTTCACTTGCATAATACCCTCTAGGTTTACCTATTTTGTCACAAATGGCAAGATCTCATTTTCTATGGTTGAGTCATATTACATTGTTTATATATACACCATACCATCTTTAGCCATTCATCTATTGGTGGACACTTGGGCTGTTGCTTTCATATCTTGGCTACTGCAAATAATGCTGCAGTGAACATAAGGTGCATGTATCTTTCTGAATTAGTGTTTTTGTTTTCTTTGCATAAATACCCAGTAGTAGAATTATTAGATCATATGATGTTTCTATTTTTAATTTTTTAAGGAGCCTTCATACTGTTTTCCACAGGGGCTGCACTAATTTACACTCCCACAGAGAGTGAACAAGGGTTCCTTTTTTTTCCACATTCTTGCCAACATTTATTTCTTGTCTTTTTGATAATACCTATTTTGACTGATGCAACGTGAAATCCCATTGCGGTTTTGATTTACATTTCTTTGATTATTAGTGAGGTTGAGCAATCTTTTCACATATCTGTATGTCTTCTTCAGAAAAATTTCTATCCATGTCCTCTGAATACTTTTAATGGGATTATCTGAGGTTGAGTTATAAGAGTTATTTATATATTTTGAATATTATTGAATATTCAATATATATATTGAATATTTGAATTCAATATTGAATTCAATATTGAATATTCAATATTTATATATTTTGAATATTATTGAATATTGAATAACCCCTTATTGAATATATTATTTGCAAACAGGATGATTTTTCATTTTGTTGATGGTTTCCTTTGCTGTGCAAAAGCTTTTTATTTTGGTGTAGTCCTAATAGTTAATTTTTGTACACATTAGGACATTTAATACAAAGCAATTCCAATTTCTCCAAAATACTTTGTAGGACTTAAAACTTGGCATACTGCCAACCAAACAGAGGAAAGAGTAGACTTCCTTTCACAAAGAACACCAAAGTTGCTACCAAAAAAGGAAAGAGTGGGGATCCCTGAGTGGCTCAGCAGTTTAGCACCTGCCTTTAGCCCAGGGCGTGATCCTGGAGTCCCAGGATGGAGTCCCACATCAAGAGCCTGCTTCTCCCTCTGCCTGGGTCTCTGCCTCTGTGTGTGTGTGTCTCTCCTGAATAAATAAAATCTTTAAAAAAAAAAAAAAAGGAAAGAGTTTTCAACTGAAAATGGAGAGTCAAGTAGCCAGTATCTCTTTCAAGATACAAGAAAAGTACAGGAATAGTTCCTTGTAGAAATCATCCAATTCTGTAGATCTCTTCACTGATAAATCTGCTGATTCTTTACTAATAATCATACCTACAACAGGAAGTCTGTCATCAGTTTAATAAGCACTAAAAGGAGGCAGTATCTATTCCAAATAGTTTGCTGAAATGGCAGAAGGCTATAAATAGAAAAAAATTAAAAAAAAAAAAAAACCTTGAGGAACCAGTGACAGAAACTAACAACATGCTTTCCTGGTGTATAAAAATGCCCTATGTCCAGGAAGTTCTGACTTTATGTTTTCTTTGGTCTTGACATTTGTTGCATGTAGCTATCTAGCATTTATTCACTTTGGATTCACTGCTATTGGTTATAAATTTTAAATTATGTCTAGTTCCCTCCCCTACTAATTTTATAAGTTTAAAAGCAAACATCTGTACAATTGCATTTTATAATAATTTCAACATGAAAACATTTCATAATACATTAAAGCAAAATGATTTAACAGAAAAGTAAAGCACATAGCCTAGTCAGGCTAAAAGAGAAGCAGAAGGGAAGACACACCTGTTGGCCGAGGCAAGTGGCTCATGCCCACAGTCCTTCCACTTGTCTCATACACATGACAGGCCTTGGGTGGGAACACTTCCTTACCAAGGCAAAGAGCATACACGACCTGTGTTGATCTTATCACCTTGTATAGGAATATATATCTCTGTTTCAGGCTCAGTGTGTACTTCTTTATTCCACTTAAGTGGCTGCATGGAAGGCCCTGAGACGTGCCCGTAGCTTTCTGTATTTCAGGCTCCACGGGGGAGGTGTCAGGTGCTTCCCCTGCAGCACACTAGGGGTTGATGCAGGCTTTTTGTCTTGCATGGGCTGCCACGGAGGACCAAAGCACACTATTAGAGCTGATCTTGTTCTGCTCTTCTAGATATGAGTAAAAGCAGTGTTCCATCCAGTGCGTAACTGTGTTGTGTTTTCCTTGGCGACTCTGGTACTAAGTGCAGTAGACAAAATGCACTATTCCTGGTGGCTGGTGTAATGATGAGCTTTGCTGTCCTCCATATAGTTGGGAGTCTTCTGGCATTGTTAACACTGGTGCACAGTGTTCTGCTTAATGATAATGGCAAAAGTAATTCCTCCCTATTTTGTCTATTTGATTAACCTTTGTAATTACAATTGTCATTCTCAAGGTATGGTCCATGAATCATGAGGGGATTCCAAAACTTTTCCGTGGCCTACAATGTCAAAACTACTTTTATAATACAAGCTTCCCTCATTTCCTAAAAGCAAAGCATTCCTATGAAACCGTCCATTAGGCAAAAGGGGGTGAAGCGAAGAAGGAATTACCATTAATTTATACAAAAAATGTTTTAAGTGTTCCCAGACCCAATAAAATCCTCTTAGGCTTTTCTGATACCTTACAACACGTCTTGCTAATGGATGCACAAAATAAATTGAGATAAATCACGGATGCAAACAGACACAATTCAAAGCTGTAGTGGCTCCACACCGAGATGCTGAGTATAGTTTCTAGGGAAAGAGCTCGGCAGCGCCATCCTCTCTACTTGGGGTGCACAGCCTCTATAACTGCTTGCTGTAAAACAAATGCTAAACACTATTTTTGCTTTAGGTAAAAGTGGAAATCCTCTATGGCTTTCTTTCAATTAGTGAGGAGAGAGTATAATGTAGGTCTTTCATAAATGCCAGGTGGCGTAATGCAAACTTTCAAAGATCTGAGGATACTTGTAACACCAAGATGCTGCTGGACTTCTGGCTGTGCTGACATTGTACTAATGGTACAAAATTAAAAGTGGTAAGACTGCTAGCACCTTAGTACAAATCAAAGCAGTAGCACCAAACCATACAAGCAATTCTTGTATTCTTCACCGGTATTTACTCACAGCAAACACACTGTAACTCTATTAAGATATGTCTTTAACTCTATAAAATTAGGGATATATACGTTCAAGCACAGTTTAAGACAATGTAATAAATACACTAGAAAGTCATTATCTACTCTCACGTACTTTGATCATACCTAATTGTATCAAACTCCCTGAAATGATGGAAATTGCAAGTTGCACTAAGAAATACAGGTGCCCTGTCTGTTCGTGTCTAAAATACAATTTGCTGAACATCATAGAAGATGAATGAATAAGAACAGCAACAGCAACAAAAAAGGTTCTAAACTTACCAGTAAAGTTACTGTGCAGACTTAAACAAGTTACCATAATGACAAGTCTCCTGAGGTTACATGTTAAGCTTCACAGAAAGCTAAACATTCTACACATTAAAAAAATACAATGACTGATCCCTTTTCTTGGTGACTAATTCCTATGCACCCCTTCCCCAATCATTTTGAGCGAAGAAAACTTTTTCCATACAAGCACTCTTACTAGCCTGTGAAATTTTAAGTGTCTTCCCTTTGAGTTCTATTCAGTCATTTCTCAACAGCAGTAGAAACATGCAAATCCAAAATGTCTCTTTTGACATTTCCAGGGTAAGTATGACTTCAGTCTAAGATATCAGGCTACTTAGAAGGCTTCTTTCACCGTAACATTTTAACAGGTGAACTCTTGTCATTTCTTCCTTCTTTTCTGCCTTTTATCAGTTGTTTTGAAACTACTTTGGACATTTAATTAAATCAAGGTTCTGAGATTGTACACTAGAAATTCATCATAAACCGACAGTTGTAAAGCACTCAGACTGGGTCTTTTATCCTTGTTTTTAAGATTATTTACTTATTTATTTATTCATGAGAGACAGGCAGACAGACACAGGCAGAGGGAAAAGCAGGCTTCATGCAGGGAGCCCAATGTGGGACTCAATCCTGGGTCTCCAGGATCACACCCTGGGCCAAAGGCAGGCACTCAACTGCTGAGCCACCCAGGGATCCCCCTATCTTTTCTCTTTCTTTTCTTTTTTTAAAAGATTTTTTATTAATTTATTAGAGAGAGAGAGAGAGAGAGAAGCAGGCAGAGGGAGAAGCAGGCTCCATGCAGGGAGCCTGACATGGGACTCGATCCCAGGTCTCCGGGATCACACCCCGAGCTGAAGGCAGCGCTAAACCACTGAGCCACCAGGGGCTGCCCCCCACTATCTTTTCTACCTGGTTTTAGCTCAGAGGATATTAGTCACAAGAAAGAAAAGCCCATTAGCAGAAATTGTCGAATTCTTCAAACAGTGTGCTTGCTTTATGTGTGTGGGGGGTACACAAGGACTGTTGTTTTGACCACACACAGAATTTGGGTATGGGTGTACTCTATGTTGGTAACAGAAAAGGCATCTTTTTTTAATTTTCTTTGTTTTCTGACTAATCTATACTCTAAAATTGTTGATATTTCATCAGTTTCAAAATTTATTTCTAGTTGAAAACTGTAATGCCACCTATCCTTTAAAAGAAAATCAATGTGTGGTTGGTTCTTGAGGCTTTTCTTTGTGCTGCTGATACACTGGCAAAGCTTGTACTTTATATAACTAATGAAAGCATTTCTACCAGTTGCAACATGAGATTCAAAGTCTTCCCCTAGGGAAGCAAAAGGATTGGGCATTATGCTTTCCTCTGATAACATCAGAATCACATGAAATTTACTAAATTTTACATTTGAATTCATTAATTTAACAACACAGACCTACAAATAGAAAAAAAAAAACCCTAGAGAAATGAACGCCAGGCATTTTAAAGATCCCTGGGTGGCGCAGCGGTTTGGCGCCTGCCTTTGGCCCAGGGCGCGATCCTGGAGACCCGGGATCGAATCCCACATCGGGCTCCCGGTGCATGGAGCCTGCTTCTCCCTCTGCCTGTGTCTCTGCCTCTCTCTCTCTCTGTGTGTGACTATCATAAATAAATAAAAAAATTTAAAAAAAAAGAAAAGGCATTTTAAAAGACTGGTGTCATTTGCTTCAACGTGGATGGAACTGGAGGGTATTATGTTGAGTGAAGTAAGTCAATCAGAGAAGGACAAACATTGTATGTTCTCATTCATTTAGGGAATATAAGTAATAGTGAAAGGGAATATAAGGGAAGGGAGAAGAAATGTGTGGGAAATATCAGAAAGGGAGACAGAACATGAAGACTCCTAACTCTGGGAAACGAACTAGGGATGGTGGAAGGGGAGGAGGGCGGGGGGTGGGGGTGAATGGGTGACGGGCACTGAGGGGGGCACTCGACGGGATGAGCACTGGGTGTTATTCTGTATGTTGGTAAACTGAACACCAATAAAAAATAAATTTATTATAAAAAAAGACTGGTGTCAAATCTTTTTTTCCTCACAGTTTTATTGAGATATAATCAAAATACAAAAGGGCTGATATTAAATCTTTACTACAGGCATAAAATTTTAAAAATAATCTATTGTGTGAGGTGCTTGGGTGGTCCAGTCGCTTAAGTGTCTAACTCTTGATTTTAGCTCAGGTCATGATCTCAGGGTCATGAGATTGAGCCCCTCGTCCACTGTGTTCTGCACTCAGCCTTAGATTCTCTCCTTCTCCCTCTGCCCCTGCCCTGCTCACAGGCTCTCTCTTGTACTCTTTCTCTCTCAAATAAATAAATAAAATCATTTAAAAATATCTATTATGAATGTGGAGGGAATAATGTTGCTGAAATGACATTTAGTTACCTGTAACTCCACACAGGTACTAACACAATGATACACTTATAACCTACAGAGTTCTACCTCACAAATTTACTAAGAGTTCTTTTTTATAGATTTCTGTAGCATTTAAAGATTACAGAAAAACAGTATCACCATATACAGTAGTCCTTCCTTACCTGCAAAGAATAGGTTCCAAGACCAACAGTGGATGCCTGTAACCTCAGATAGTAAACTGAACCCTATACATACTTTCTATGTTTTTCCCTATACATACATACTTGTGATAAAACTTAATTCATAAATTAGACAAGAAATTAACAATAATTAATAAATAGAACAAGTATAATACACTGCAATAAAACTTATATGAATGTGGTCTCTCTCAAAACGTCTTAATGTACTATACTCACCCTTCTTGCTGTGATGATGTTCAATGATAAAATATCCATGTGATGAGATGAAGTGAGGTGAATGATGTAGGCATTGTGACATAGTGCTAGGCTACTACTAACCTTCTGAAGGTACGTCAGAAGGAGGATCATCTGTTTCTGAACCACGGCTGACCATGGGTAACTGAAACTGTAGAAAGTGAAACCACGAAGGGGGGGACTACTGTACTGTCCCCCCCTGTTTCCTGTTATTAACATCTTGCATTAGTGTGATACAGTCTTCTTTACAATTAATGAGCCAATCGTGATGAATTATTACGAACTAAAGTCCACAGTTTACATTAGGCTTCACTCTCAGTGTTGTACATCTATAGATATAGACAAACGTTTAATGACCTGTATCCATCATTATAATACCATACTATGCTATGACTTCTTTCAGATACTAAGATTTCTTTCTTGTTTTAAAGGTTTTATTTATTTATTCATGAGAGTCAGAGACATAGGCAGAGGAAGAAGCAGGTTCCCCCGGGGGCAGGGCGGGGGGGGGTGCTGATGTGGGACTTGATCCCACGAGCCCAGGATCATGACCTAAGGCAAAGGCAGATGCTCAACCACTGAGCCACCCTGATGCCCCTAAGATTTCTTTCACTTAGCAATGTACACTTAAGATTCCTCCATGTCTTTCCATGGCTTGATACCTCATTTCTTTCTATCACTGAATAGTATTCCATTGGATAGATGTATCACCGTGTGTTTATCCATTTACCTACTTAAAAGCATAGCCAAAGAACATGGCCTATTGAACCACATACCATACAGTGCATGCAGATGTCTATTTCACAAATTGCTGCAATTAAAAAAAAAGATTTTTTAATAGAAAGTGCTTTAAATTCCAAGCAGATTCATTAAATTTAAAAGATTTTAATGAAATGAAGTTTAATGAACAAATGAAATAAATTTAATGAAAAATTAAATCATTATGTACTATTGAGCCTATGACACATGGAAACATAACATATTTGCTAAACAAGGTGAGTAGGTGCAAAGCTGTACTAGGCTAAAGAAATTACTCCAAATGGTAACATGAACCCATATGAAAAGAACCAAAAGTCATAAATAAAAAGGTCAAGGTCAGGGGTGTCTGGCTAGCTCGGTTGGTAGAGCATGTGACTCTCATTCTTGGGGCTCTAAGTTCGAGTCCCATGTTGAGCGTTAAGATTACTTAAAAATAAAATCTTTAAAAAAAGAAGTCATGGTCATTATAAGAAAAGCTATAAATATGTATATGCTCTCTTTCAGCTTCTTTAAGAGATATAATCATTTTAACAATGTACTATAGGGTTTGTAACATCTGTATATATGATAACAATTATACCATAAAAAACAGAGAAATAGATTAAAACTACATTGTAGTGAGGTTTTTAATTTCATCGGAATTAAGTCAGTATAAATTAAGATGTTTATGGTAAGCCCTAGAGCAACCACTAAAAGAAAAAAAAAAACACAACGAAAAAAAAAAAACCACTTTAAAAAAAAATGATGAATACCTATGAATAAATTTAACCAAGGAGATAAAAGACTTGTACTCTGAAAACCAAAAAACATTGATGAAAGAAATAAAAAATGTGGGCAGCCCGGGTGGTTCAGCAGTTTAGTGTCAGCCCAGAGCCTGATCCTGGAGACCCGGGATCAAGTCCCACATCAGGCTCCCTGTATGGAACCTGCTTCTCTCTCTGCCTGTCTCTCTCTCTGTATCTCTCATGAATAAGTAAATAAAATCTTTTAAAAAAGAAATTAAAAATGACACAAAAGAAATGTATTCCATGCTCATGGATTGTAAGAAGCAATATTGTTAAAATGTCTATACTACCCAAAGCAATCTATAGATTCAATGCAATCCCCATCAAATACCAACAGCATTTTTCACAGAACTATAACAAATAATATTAACACTTGTGCGGAAACACAAATGATCCCAAATAGCCAGAGCAACCTTGAGAAAGAAGAACAAAGCCGGAGGGATCATAATTCCAGATTTCAAGTTATAGGAATCACTACAGTATGGTACCGCCACAAAAATAGATACACATAGATCAATAAAACAAAATAGCCCAGAAATAAACTCATGCCTATATGGTAATTAATCTATGACAAAGGAGACAAAAATAAGCAATGGAGAAAAGACAGTCTCTTTAACAAATGGTGCTGGAAAAACTGGACATGCAAAAGAATGAAACTGGACCACTATCTTATACCATACACAAAAATAAACTCAAAATGGATTAAATACCTAAATGTGATATATGAAGCCATAAAGCCATAAAACTCCCAGAAGAAAACAAAGGAGTAATTTCTTTGACATCAGCCATCACAAAATTTTGCTAAATATGTCTTAGACAACAGAAATAAAAGAAAAATTAAACTATTGAGACTATACCAAAAGAAGCAGCTTTTGGGCAGCCGGGTGGCTCAGTGGTTTAGCACTGCCGTCAGCCCAGGGCGTGATCCTGGGGACCTGGGATTGAGTCCCATGTCGGGTTCCCTGTGTGGAGCCTGCTTCTCCCTCTGCCTGTGTCTCTGCTTCTCCCCACCCCCCCCCATCTCTCATGAATAAATAAATAAAATCTTTATAAAAAAAAAAAAGCAGCAGCTTTTGCACAGCAAAGAAAACCATCAACAATGACAAGGCATCCTTATGAATAGAGAAGATACTGCAAGTGGTATGTCTGATAAGGAGTTAATGTCCAAAATAGATAAAGAACTCATACAACTCAACACACACACACACACACACACACACACAAAACCCACAAATAATCTGATTAAAAATGGGCAGAGCACCTGAATAGATATTTTTCCCCCAAAAGACACACAAATGTCCAATAAACATATAAAAAGATACTCAACATTACTAATCACCTGGGAAAAGCAAATTAAAACCACAATGAGATACCTTCTTACACCTATTAGAATTGAAGAGATAAGAAGTAACAAGTGTTGACAAGGATGTGGAGAAAAAGAAACCTTTGTACCCTGCTGGTGAGAATGTATATTATTGAAGCCACTGTAGAAAATATTATAGAAGTTCCTCTTAAGATTAAAAATTACAAAAACAGAGTTAAAAAAAGATTAAAAATCACAAATAGAATGGTCCAGTAATTCCACTACTGAGTATTTATCCAAAGAAAACTGAAACACTAATTAAGAAAGATATATGCAGGAGGGCCTAGGTGGCTCAGTTGGTTAAGTGTCTAACTCCTGGTTTCAGCTCAGGTCATAATCTCATGGGTGGTGAGATCAAGCGTGGCACTGGGCTCCATGCTCAATGGAGAGTCTGCCTGAAGATTCTCTCCTTCTCTTTCTCTATCTAAAATAAATACATCTAAAAAAAAAACATATATGCACCCCTATGTTTATTGCAGCATCATTTACAATAGCCAAGATATGGAAGCAACACAAGTGTCCCTCCATAGATGAATAGATAAAGACAATGTAGTACATATATACAATGGAATATTATTCAGCCACATAAAAGGATGAGATCTTGCCATTTGCAACAATAGGAATTGATATAGAGGGTATAATGCTAAGTGAAGTAAGTCAGGCAGACAAAGACAAATATATGATTTCATTCATATGAGAAATTAAAGAAACAAAAAGAAAAAAGAGACGTAAAAAAATAAGACACTTAAATACAGAGAAAAACTGGTGTTTGTCAGAAGGGAAGTGGATGGATAGGTAAAATAGACCAAGGGAATTAAGAGTACACTTATCATGATGAACACTGAGTAGAGAATTGCTGAATAATTATATAATACATCTGAAACAAATATAATATTGTATGTTAATTATACTTCAATTTTTTTTAAAAAAGGAGAAAAGGTAAGCAAAAATCATTAAATAAACTGCTTCATTAGGAAATATTCACCTGCTGCAAAATAAAGCAGTAAAAGAGGGAGAGAGGAATAAAAAACACATTAGATATAAAAGGAACAAAGTAACATGGAGACATAATCCAACTGTACCAATACCATTGAATGCAAATGAATTAAGCATTCTAATCGAAAGGCAGAGATCATTAGACTAGACTAAAAAAACAAGATCCAACTGAGTGCTGTCTACAGGAGACACTACAGCAATGATGTCACACAAGCAGCAACCACTAGTCGGCTGAAATTACTGTATAAAACAAAGTATACACTTTCTTAAAAGTTACTAGAGGGACATTTTATAAAAGTGTCAATCAAAATGGAAAAGGTCTGTAAACAGGAATGTATCTCATGCAGAAGTGAAAGGAGAAACAACTATAACTGAAGTCTTTAAGACCCTGCTTTCAGGACTTTTAGGACTCCTGAGTGGCTGGCTCAGTGGTTAAGCATCTCCACCACTCCAGCTGGGGGTTTGATCCCTGGAATCCAGGATCTAGTCCCTCATTAGGCTCCTTGCAGGGAGCCTGCTCCTCTCTCTGTCTCTCATGAATAAATAAAATCTTGAAAAAAAGATCCCACTTTCAATTAGACAGCAACAGACTCCAAAGCCGTATCTGACTAAAACAGAGTTCTTCATTCCCTCTCCACCCCCACCTCCAAGATCTGCTCCTCCTTTGGTCTCTATCTCTGTAAACAGCAACTGCATCCATCCAACTGCTTGGGCCACAAACCTTTAAGTCGTGGGCTCTTGCACCCTCAATGAATCAATTGCACCCTCCATGCAATGAATCAATCAATTCTATAACCGGTCCTTTCAAAAATATATCCAGAATCCAGCCAGTTTTTCCATTTCCCCCCTGGTTGAAACTACCACCATCACTCACCAGGATTACGGAATTACACTCCTGACTGGATTCCATCTTTCCTTTTCTGGTGCCCTGCTGTCTGTCTCCATACAGCAGCCAAGTGGACCTTCCAAAACAAATTAAATCAGGTCATTCCTCAACGCTGAACTTATTCTGTAAATTTGAAATGAAATCTAAATTCTACTACCTCCCTTTCCAGCTTTTTTCCTATTCCTTAACCACTGCTCTCTCTCCACACTGAGCCCTTTGTTTATAATGCAATTCCTAAAAATAACATATGATGTACAAAAAGTGAGAAAGAATAGGCCCTAATATAACATGTGAATGGTAATTATTTATAGGTAAATTATAGACAAATACAATTTTTCATTGCAAAAAAAGTATTTCTACTTTTATGTTTTTATGGTTAACTTATGTAGTGAAATGTATAAAAAGCTGTGTATAAAACCCCTTACACCCAGCATGGTGATAGCATTTAGCCATATACAAAATCTGGAAATAAACCAAGCATGTTACAAAAAAAAAAAAAAAAAATCAGAACAAAAGAAATTTAAAAAAACGAAAAAAACTTTACATGTAGAGGGATGCCTGGATGGCTTAGAGGTTGAGCATCTGCCTTTGGCTCAGGGTGTGATCCCGGGGTCCTGGAATCGAGTCCCGCACTGGGCTCCCTGCAGGGATCCTGCCTCTCTCCATCTCTCATGAATAAATATTAAAAAAAAAAACTTTACATGTAGAAATAGCTAGTATTCACTAATATGTGATCCACGATTTCAATTAATTCTTATCACAACCCTTTGTGATGCAACTATTACTCTGAAGTGAAGTGATACTGAAGTTAAAATGAGGTTCGGAGAGATTAAGTTGCTTGAAGTGGCCAACTGGTGAAGCCCAGGTCTACCCCCTTGAACGGTCATGTTCTGAACACTAAACATCGCTTCGTGACAGTCCTATGCAATGGTGGAAAAGACATAGATATCCACTAACGACAGGAAAATGTACATCAAGTAGTTCTAAGTGTTTCTTGAAACTAGAATCATGTAAAGTAGATGCGTGTGTTATGTGAAAAAGCCAACCATCCCGTTCTACTCATAAGCATAAGAAAACTGAGTATTTCATATGAAAATAGGTCAAAAGCCAATATGTTAATGCTGGTTCAGTTTGGACAATAGAATTCTGGGTGGTTTTGTTTTGCTTTTTATATGTTGCAGATTTTCATGAATGCATCAGAACTCTGTTTCCGAAACAACAAAAAAACCCCTAAATCTTGTGGAACTAAAGTAAAAACCTTTTGTCCCGTAATAGAAAATTTAGCCTCCAGGGTCTTCCCCAGCTACGGATTCGGGGTCTAGATCTAAACTGCATAAAGAACCTGAGTTTCATCTAAAAGGCGATCTACATTCTTCTGACCCCTGAGAACTCTCCATGGATTTCACGATACTCTTGTCTGCAAACTTTGTTAAAATGAGCCAATTAAGAGCTTATTGGATTGAGACCCGGTAGCTTCCATGGCCCAGATGTAACCGTCTTTTCCACGGGAGGAACGTAATTCAAAAGCACTTTCCAACTGTCCCTGGAGTGTGGATCTTGCACGGAAATAGTAACACTTAAAAGGAAGTAAAGATGAAAGAAAGAAAAGAAAGAAGGAAAGAGAGAAAGAAAGAAAGAGGAAAGAAAAAAGAAGGAAAGAAAAAGAGAGGAAAGAAGAGAAAGAGAAGGAAGGAGAGAAAAGAAGAGAAGAGTGGAAAGAAAGGAGAGAAAAAGAGAAAGGAAAGAAAGAAGAGAGAAAGGAGAGAATAAAGAGGAGGAAGAGAAGAGGAAAGGAAGAAGAGAGGAAGAGCAGAGGAAGAGGAAAGGAAGAGCAGAGGAAGAGGAAAGGAAGAGGAAGAGGAGGAAGAGGACAGAAGTGGAGAGAAAGAGGAAGATAAAAGAAGAGGAAGAGGAAGAGGAAAGGAAGAAGAAAGGAAGAGCAGAGGAAGAGAAGAGGAAGAGGAAGGAAGAGGAAGACGAAGAGGGGAAGAGATGAGGAAGAGGAGAGGAAGAGCACAGAAGTGGAGAGGAAGAGAAAGATAAAAGAAAAGGAGAGGAAGAGCAGAGGAAGAGCAGAGGAAGAGGAAGGGAAGAGGAAGAGAAGAGAAGAGGAAGAGAAGAGGAAGATAAAAGAAGAGAGGAAGAGCAGAGGAAGAGGAAAGGAAGAGGAGAGGAAAGGAAGAGAGGAGAGGAGAGGAGAGGAAAACGAAGAGTGGAAGAGATGAGGGAGAGGAGAGGAAGAGGAAGAAGAAAGGAAGAGGAGAGGAAAGGAAGAGGAAGAGAGGAAGAGCAGAGGAAGAGGAAAGGGAGAGGAAGAGCAGAGGAAGAGGAAAGGAAGAGGAGAGGAGAAGGAAGAGAGGAAGAGCAGAGGAAGAGGAAAGGAAGAAGAAGAGAGAGGAGAAGGAGGAAGAAGAGATGAGGAAGAGGAGTGGAAGAGGGAGAGGAGAGGAAGAGGACAGAAGTAGAGAGGAAGAGGAAGATAAAAGGAGAGGAAGAGGAGAAAGGAAGTGGAGAGGATGATAAGAGGAGAGGAAGAGCAGAAGAAAGGAAGAGGGAGAGGAGAGGAGAAGGAAGAGATGAGGAAGAGCAGAGGAAGAGGAAAGGAAGAAGAGAGGAGGAGGAGGAAGAAGAGATGAGGAAGGAAGAGGGAGAGCAGAGGAAGAGGAGAGGAGAGGAGGTCGAAGACGCCCGCCGCCCCCGCCGCCGCCGCCTTCGGGCCCGGACCGGCCGCGGTGTCCCGGCGGCGGGGCTGCAGGCGCCGCGGTCCCAGGTTCTCCGCCGCGGGCGCGTGCGCGTCTTCTGGCTCCGGCCTCGGGCGGCCACGAGGGCCAGCCGCCGCCCCCCCCCCGGCCCCGGCCGCGGCCCTACTCGCTCGCGGGGGCCGGCGCCGCGCCCGGAGAACCGCTGGGCTCGGAAGGCGGCAGGAGCCGCGAGGCTGGCGGGGGCGGGGGCGGAGGCGCGGCGGGGCGGCAGCGGCCGGAGACGAGCGGCTCCCGGCCGGGCGGCGCGGCCACAGGGCGGGGGCAGCGGGGAGCCTGGGGCACGCCCACCCCTTCCACGCACGCACGCACGCACGCACGCACGCAGGCACACGCCGCCCTGGGCGCGCGGGCGGACGGCGGTGGGCCGGGACGCGCATGCGCGCGGGGGCCGAGCCTCCGGGGCCTTCCCGCGGCGAGTGCGGGCGGCGCCTGGCGGGCCCGGGCTCGGGTGCGGAGAGCGACGAGGCCGAACTGGGGCTTCCGTTGGTCCCGGAGTGAACGTTCGCCGGACTATCCGGCGGTCCGCGATGCTTGCCCTCGTGCAACGCCGCCCAAACCAAACCCCGCTCTTGCAAAATAAATACATACATACATGCATACATGCATACATACATACTACGACAGTTTTGGGTGAATCCCCGACAGGTCCGCCTGGCGCGGCCGGTGGGGCGGGAACCGTGCAAGGGAGAGCCAACTGGTCGGAAACGCGTAAAGGATTCAGCTAAATTGTTCAGAATCAGGCCCCGCCCCCTCCCTCCACCGGGTGGCTCAGTGGTTAGCGCCAGCCTTGGGCCCAGGGCGTGACCCCGGGGTCCTGGGATCCGGTCCCTCTTGGGCCTCCCTGCACGGAGCCTGCTTCTCCCTCTGCCTGTGTCTGTCTCTCTGTGTCGCTGATGAATAAACAAAAATATTTTTTTTTTTTTTTTTTTTTTAGGATCATAGAGCAGAGAGGACAAAGGAGGTAACACTATGGTAGAGGAAGCTGAGACTTGCCTGTAAGCTCTGCAGTCCTCAGCGGTACGGAAGAGACTACAGCCTTTGGACCCGGGAAACCAAGATGCGTGTGGATGCCCATCCGGCGCTCTTTCCAGGATCTTGGACCCAAAACCCTTTTGGGCATCCACGAGCTGTGCGGGGGGGGGGGGGGGGGGGGGCGGCTCCGTAAGTAGAGTCTAGACAAACGACGATCCTGGGGGAAGCAGCAGGGTGGGAACGCGCGCAGGCGTGGGGGTTAGGTTTCCTCCTGTACCCGGGCTTGGCACGTCGGAACTGAGTCCTCGTAAGTACGTTACCTTTTACCTGCTGTTGCCAGGTGTGCCGGACTTCCTTCGCCTTAACGGATATTCTACTTTATATCCAAGAGGAGATCTCTTGCAGGTTTGCTCTTATTTTTCCAAGACTTTATATCCAAGAGGAGATCTCTTGCAGGTTTGCTCTTATTTCCAAGAATAAATGTTACGGGTTTGCACATACCTACACTATGTCTGTGTTTGTCCATTTTATTTTTTTTTTATTTTATTTACTCATGAGAGACACAAAGAGAGAGAGAGAGAGGCAGAGAGAGAAGCAGGGGAGCCTGATTCGGTACTCGATCCTGGGACCCCGGGGTCACACCCTGGGCCGAAGGCAGGTGGTCAACCGCTGAGCCACCCAGGGATCCCCCTAAATAATTTGTTATTTTAATGACACTTCAGCCAGTCTGGATATAATGACACATGGCCTTGCCTTCATGGTGGGTGGGGCAGAGAATATAATAAACCATAAATATGACTCAATTCATACTATTTTTGAAAAGATACATAGGGATGAAAATCCCAAGGCAGAAAACAATCAGAACTCTGAAGTTCCAACCTATACACCATTAGTTCTTTTTTTTTTTTTTTAAGATCTTATTTATTCATGAGAGTCCCACAGAGAGGCAGAGACCCAGGCAGAGGGAGAAGTAGGCTCCATGCAGGGAGCCCGACGCAGGACTCAATCCCGTGTCTCCAGGATCAGGCCCTGAGCCAAAGGCAGGCACCCAACTGCCGAGCCACCCAGGTGTCCCACACCATTAGTTCTTAAACAGAGACATGGTTGAAGAAATAAGACATCCTTAACATATTTCTGAAAACTTTATCCCATGAGAAAAGTCTTCCAGTTTATTATATCTGAATCTCATTGTTAAGAAGAAAAAGACTTCACCAAGAAAACAATATAATTAAGGACCGCATGAAGAAGTGCTACAGCGGAGTCGGGAAGGAGAGGGAATCTACAAAAATCCGTAATTATCCAAGGATTAGTGTATTGTATTAACAGAGTCCACGAAGGAAAAGCGCTTCACAATGTAAAAGTTTAGGATAAAGCCCATGGCGGACTCATTCTGTAAGAATATTTGCAAATCTTTGCCTCGGAAAGCCAAGATGCATGTATTAACAAGCCCAGATATTCTGAGGTCAGATTTTTTTTCCCCCTGCTGTTCTTTCTTTCTTTCTTTCTTTCTTTCTTTCTTTCTTTCTTTCTTTCTTTCTTTCTTTCTTTTCTCTTTCTTCTTTCTCTTTCTTCTTTCTTTCTCTTTCTTTCTTTTTTTCTTTCTTTCTTTCTTTCTCTTTCTTTTTCTTTCTTTATTGGAGTTCAGTTTGCCAACATATAGCATAACACCCAGTGCTCATCCCATCAAGTGCCCCCCTCAGTTGATGTCAGATTTCTATGGTTAAACCAAACTCAACTGATTTCTAGAAGGAAAACGATCGTCACCCTGATTTCGGGTTCCACAGAATAAAGAAAGGCATTTTTGAGAGAAAGAAAACGAATAAAGAAACCTGCGTGGTGGTAAAAGTCAATAACTTTTCTCAGAAAAATATTTGGCCCCATTACCGTAGAATTCATTATTATAGAAAAAGAAAATCGCATAGTGTTTGGGACCAAACATATCACCGAACCAGCAAACCCTAACGACTCCTGAATCGGTTCCATTTAAATTAAGCAAAGGCTGAAAGGAAGTACAAAAGTTTCAAATAAATGTATCCATCATAATCCCACAGTCTAAAAAAACATTTGCGTCGTAGACTCAGTCCTAACTTCCCAGTATTCTCAGAACGTCTCGCCGCAGGCTTTTCCTTGATGCCCCTTCATTAAAAAGGACTTTTCTTTCTCCTCTTTCCTGCCACCAGCCGGTAAAAAGGCATTTACGGTGCGTCCCACGCTCCTGCGTGCCAGGAGCGAGATCACCCCGTTTGCCCTGGATTGAGAATTCGCTCAACTTGGCCGCGCGATGGAAGCCGTTCTCGGAGCCCCGAGCCCGCCGCCCCTCCCGGCGCCGACACCGGGCCGCGGGGGGAGACCTGGGGCACGCGCCCCTAAACCCTTAGCAGGTGCCGCGGGGCCCTCCGCGCGCAGCCACGCCCCTCGCCCCGCCCCCTCGCCCCAGGGCCCGCCCCGGAAGTTGCGTCACGGCGCTCGTGCGCCCTGTCCCCGGATGCACTTCTCTATCCGGATTCTTAGAGCGGACTCCGAGCTCCACGGTCCCCTCCGCGGTTAGCACATGCGCGACGGCGCCGCTCCCTCTTCCTCCACCTCCGCCAGCCTCCGCCGCCCGGGAAGCCGCCGCCGCCGCCGCCGAGGAGTCAGGAAGTTCAAGATGGCCGCCGCGGAGACCCTGTCGCTGCGGGAACAGCCAGAGTAAGTAGTCTGCGGGCGCGCGGGGCGGCAGGCCGGGGCCGCCGAGCGGGAAGCGGCGCGGACCTGCGCGGGCGGGCGGGCGGGAAAGTTGAGGCCTCGCGGCGAGAAGCAAAGTTTGCGTTTCCCCGCGCGGTACGCGGTGGGGCGGGCGGGCCCCGGAGGCCGCGGCTGTTGGCTCGGAGGCGGCCGCGGCCTGCCGCGCGTCGTTGCCCCGGGAGGCGTACGCGCGAGCGGCCTCTACAGGTCCCGGGCGCCAGGCGGCTGCCGCCTCTGTGCGGTCGCGCCTTCGTGCCCCCCCCCCCCCCCGGGGGCCGAGCGGAGCTCCCGGGCTGCAGGCGGCGGCGGCGGCGGCTGCAGAGAGCGAGCCCCGAGGCTGTGCGCGCGGGGCCCTGTGGTCGTCCACGCTGCAGGGAGGAGAAGGGCAGCCGGGGAGCCGGGGCCAGCCTTGCCCCGTGGGGCTTCCGTTCCCCCCTCCGCCCGTTGGCAGCCGACGGGCCAACTTGCAAACTTGAGGCGGACCGGGATCAAGTTCTTGGTTTTTGAGGCCTGACGTTTTCTGGCCTCGGGTTGCAGCGCTTCTTTGGGAGCCCGAGGGGAACAGGTCCCAGCTGCTTCCAAACCGCCAGCGCTCTAGGTCTGTGATCAAAGCTAACGCGAGAATCTTTGCGGGCCAAGTTGGGCCCGTCACTTGCATAATGCCGCAGAGTCTCGATTCTTTGCTCG